ATCCTATGTGAGCTAAGTACGGCTGAATAAAAATAGCTGTTGACTCACCACGGAAATATCATGTGGTTTGACAAGAACAATTCCGTGCAGCTTAAAACCACAGTAACAATAAATTGTTGAGCGCCGAAATTTAATATTTTTATGAGTATCTGGCACAGATACCCGGTCATAAATTTGCAAAGATGTTGCCAGAGCTTACACTTCTGCAGAGCTGCGCCCTTAGAATACAGTGGGCACCAGTTTCTGGATATAAAATAATTATGGTGATGCTACATCGTTTACACCTGTGGGCTCTCGAGGTTGTGCTGTGAACAGAGGCCGAATCCCAACAACTCCTCTCATCCATGCGTTAAAGAAATGAGGAAACCTGACATTTCCCTGCACTGTGAAGCTGTATACGAAGTAAACTTCGATCAGTGACGCGGATGGTGCCTTATTTAAGATCAGACTTTGCATCCATTCTCATAACTAGTCGAACAAAAATTGTTTGTATCACAACGATACTGGGAAGAGGAAGTACGATATAAATGAGCTTAATTATCACACAAGACGTCTTCACAACCAGATATCTTCAGCACAAAATAGGTTCACCTTGTATTCCACCCTGTCAAAGATTAGCAAAGAGGGTGGCGTATCCGTCTGATGTTCTATGAGCAGTCGCATTTCAGCTTCCTAGGTCTACGTATACATAGGAAGGTAATAGAGTGGCCTACAGATAAATAACCCCTTTGTGTGAGACCCAGTTCCCTATGAAAAGTCTCTAAGTAAACGTTACATCATAATATCGTCATGAGAGCGGATCAAGATAAAAGAATGTGTTGCCCGCTTTCTGAAGTTGTCTGAGTCAAATAAAAAGTACTTGGATTATCTGTGGTGGTATTGCTTCTCGCTGCAATATTATCTAGCAGTAATGTATACCGAGAAGGATCCATTTTTACTCTCAATGAAAACTGTCAAGTGTTGAGAAAGGACTCACCACGACCTTATGTTTTGAGGGCTCTGTCTGGCTGCAAATTTAATGAAAGTTTTCTAACGCTACTGTTGTCGATAACAGCTTAGTCGTGCTCCCAACAATATTATGCACCCACGAACAGCCCTAGTACTAAAGAATAAATATGCGCAACTTGGATACCAAAGGTGTTCAAGTTCACAAGTGTTGGAATAAGCACTACCTAACTCGAGTCAAGTCAAGTTTATTAAGAGAGATATTGGCAAACGCCTTTGAATTCCCTATTGGTACGTAGTAGTTAAGAAATGCATTGGCACAACCGAACATTTTAGGGAAGTCTTTTACATAATTGTAGGCGACTACTCGTTTTTTTCAAGTAATATCCTTATACGTGGTGATATCAGTTAACACGAGCCAGCAGGGGTAACTGGTTAAAAAAAACGCAGACAGTAAAAAAAACTCCCAAGGCATGGCTCATAATTCAAAATGGAATGTCATTTTTGGTTTTTAGGAGAAAAACTATCGCTCGTGGGCTAAAGTATGTGAAAGATAGGACCATCATGCTGCGGTGAAAGTTGGCGTCAGTCAGGGGGTCCATGACGGGTAATATCTATATCCAAAGGGCCACACGAGGAGACCTCTGAGTCAGAAGAACGGCCCCAAGAACCGGAGAGGTGACCATGGTAAGCCCTTGCTGTGACGAGAGGAGAGGAACCCGCCATGTCGTCAGCAGTCGGTTTATAGGTCGATAAGAGAAAGAGGGTGACAAAGCCGTGTAACCTACGACCATAGGTGCGGTAGATGCGACTGCAGGCGCGATCACTGCAGTTCGCATAGTGAGAAGAAGAAGAAGCGCGGATATGGGCTATGTACGGCGAAAACATTTTTATTAAATAGTAATATTACTTAAAATTTTCAATTAGTGTATGCTTGGCATTTAAATGACTCTTCAATGTTTGGTTTCGGAGAACTTAGTCACCGCGGTGGCACGTAAGGCAGTGCTGGTCAAGCTTTGTCTTA